TACCAGTTGTTCTCTTGATTTTATTCTGTTTTCCTTTTGGCAAAATGCTAGTATCTCATGATACATTACAGGTACACTTTGACTTACAAAAGTCCATTTAATGATTGTTCCAAGTTACAATGACACTGAAAAAAAGGGACTTATGACCCTTTTTCACACTTACGAGCATTGCAGCACTTCCATGATCAAAATTCAGATGCTTTGCAATTGATTCATATTTATGATGGTTGCAGTGTCCTGATGTCATGTGATCATTTTTTGTACTCCTGACAAGCAAAATCAATGGAGAAGCCAGATTCACTTAACAACCATGTTACTAACTTAATGACTGTAGTGATTCCCTGAACAAGAAAGATCTTAAATTGGGCAAAACTCATTTAACAAATGTCTCACTTAACCATCTCAGTTTTGGGTTCAATTGTGGTCGTAAGTTGAAGACTATCAATAACCATTTTGTTTATTTCTTGTCTAAAATTCTGATGTAGCAGTAACTTGAATATGCATATGTATCCAACTGATCAAGTAATTAATTATTTGATTTAGTTGGATAACAAAACAAATGATAGGTAATACATTGTAGACATCATTATAGAAGTGGGAGTTTCTCTTAAGTAGATGTAATTTGTCTTGCATTGCTTGGTTATGCACTATTGCTCTGTGTCAATACAGATATTTCAAACTGTTTCATATTTTAAATATTACCAGGTAATTGCTTAAATAGCAACTCTTGTTAGCCATTTATAACATTAATCCAACTCTAACTTTCTCAGCCTAATATTTTCCACATAGGTTGGGACTATAATCTTCCAAATTCCGAGCCAGAATGACTTTTAGTCACCAAAAGTTGTGCTATGCCTTGGGATCAAGAGTAGATCTTTGCAAGCCTTTGTTCAAGCTTTCCCTCCTCTCATTTGTATCTATTTCAAGTACCCTGTATGACTTACTAGATTTTATTTAGAATTCATGGGGTCACTATAAGTCCTTGCTAGAAGAGGAAGACCATCTTTAACTTAATTGTAATATCATACACCTTGGGAGGCACTTTGAGATGGAAAAATCTTACGCATTTTCTGGCCAGGGAATATTCTGAGCAAAACAGAACTATTCCCTCTATAACTTTGAGTACCGTTTGAAGAGAATTCTGCCAGAACAAATCAAAGTCAGTATACCCTGAGTGTAAAGTCATAGAAGTCTAGCTAGGAAAAAAAGGTAGAAATCTCACAAGCTTTGTTCATGTGCTTTGCCTGTCAAACAAAGAGTTTGGGGTATAGATATCACAGGCGAATTACAAGCCTGGATTTGCCCAGACTATCCCCTAAAAATCCAATTATCACATTTGTATACCCTTCTCCACAGGACAGATATACTTGAGGCTGTCATTTCATCCTCTCGATAGACTTGTGAGGTAAATTAAGCTGAGATGTAGTTGTTAGTGAAGAAGGTTATGCTGAGAGAATAGCTCTCCAGAGAAAGACAGATTGTACACTGATAATAATTGCATTTCAACTCATATATTGGATTTATGTTGTTTCAACTCTGTCCTTTTTCCTGCAGCCTGCCCTCTCAAATTCTGCTTCAACGGGTGCAAAGGATTTGAACTGTGTTCAGTGCAACTTGGTTCTGGCTGCTGAATAGCTTTTGCAAGAAATAAAAAAAAAAAATCCATGTCACTATATTAAACTATGGTTTTACCTTTTTGAATGACTTGCCTGGTTAATCAGATCAAATGTTCATTATGGTCATACACCTAGCATAGTAGCTTGATTCTCTTTTCAAAATGGCATATTAAGAAGTTCATGCAATTTATTGGTCAGTGTTTGCTTAATATCCAGCTTTCAATGATGGCCAGATCCAGTGTGCCAAAAATCTGTTCTGTCCACCCAGGGTTTCTCTTGCGTTAGTACTTTAATATATCTGCCATCTTCCTGAGTGAATGAGAAATGTTATGGCCATTTGGAAACATGTTTGCAGCTTTCTGCTTTGACAGGAAAATAGAGAAACATTTCTATAAGGGTGAATTTGTCATATAGCAAGCTAGCAACTAAAAAGTTGTGTGAGTACAACATGGATTGTCAGCCTAATGTCTACTACTTCAGTTGAAAATGAAAAGGCAGCATGGACATGCTATTTTCACCCTCTGACTGATATTGCCTGCATATCAATAGTATTTCAGCTGCTGGGAAGGCTACCAAGCAAGAATGGAGAAAAGATAAGAGGAATACAACAAGGAACAGAAAGCAAAAGTAACATGGAGTGAATGTGGAAATGTGTGGGCTTTCTTTGGTGTGAGCTGGGGGATAAGACTGTTCCAGAGCTATGGGTATCAATCGGAGATTTGAGTTTAAGACCAAAAAGTCACCTATACAGCTTTATCACTCACCTAATTTTATTGCAAATTACATACTTGGGCACCTTCATTCAGCTGAAGTGACTTTTTCTTTAGAACAGCAGTGCTGAGCAGAGTATTGTGAAGTTACTAAATATTTCAGATGTGGTATGGTAGTATTCTTGAGGGAGCTGAATCTTGTTGTTCAGTCATTGCACTAAATAAATTGATGGGAATGTTTTATTTTATTTCTGTTGGTAAAACAAGATGCAATAAATTTCTTCTGCAGTTTATTAAATCGCCAAAATGGTATCAACCTATTTTTATTAACACAAAGAAAATTTTAATTTAGAACATATCAAGATCAAATGAAAGTTTTTGCAAATCAGTTATTATGTTATCTTTTTCACTTCTGGTTTACAAATGCCATATTTCACAATTCTGATGGTGCCTAATTTATTTTATAAACAATATTAAATATAAGAAAATAAGCCCTGACCCATTTTTTTATTTCTTTAAATAGAACATTTCTTCCTTTCCTTTCCTTTCCTTTCCTTTTCTTTCCTTTCCTTTCCTTTCCTTTCCTTTCCTTTCCTTTCCTTTCCTTTCCTTTCCTTTCCTTTCCTTTCCTTTCCTTTCCTTTCCTTTCCTTTCCTTCCCTACCCTACCCTACCCTACCTTTCCCTTTCTCCAGCATAATGAATGTAGAATCCACCGGTGGGTAATCTCAGCCTTCCTGCTCAGATGAGACTAAGTCAGAACTTTAGCCACGCCTCTCTCTGGGAGTGTCCCCCAGTTATTGACTTAGTCTCAGCTCAGTAGGACACAACTTCTTTGGCTCCTCAGTTAGACTAGGTTAATAAATTTGGTTAATTTTCTAATTGGAATTCATTTTATTCAAAAATCTCTAAATTAATGTGTCTTATTCTTCATTGATATTTGGACTCAAATTGGCAAATAATTTTGGCAGTTTAATCCTTTTGGATATTACTCAGGCCTCTGGGCCTCAACAGTCTAACAGGCTCCTGCAGAGAAAGCTACAGGCTGATCTAAAGTGGGGCTTTTTGCTCCGATCGAACTGATCAGCGGGAGCGCGGATCAGCCGAACAGCTGGATCACGGCGAATAGGAGTTTCCTCAGAGCTTGAACAGAGCGGAGGGCTTCCCTTTCCTACTGTTGCCAATGCCACGAGGTTTCTCTGTTGGAAGCAGGTGACTTCAGATCGCAGCAGAGCTGCGCGACCAAACCACAAGTGCCTTTAGGGAACGGGGGGAAGGGAACCTATTTAGATTGCAGATTCTTTAAAGGTCTTCCCTTCCAGGGGACCTTGTAGCCCCCTCTTCTTCATTTTCGGCACATTCGCCATTGTTTAGGAGGCACTAAAAGGCGCAGCTGCCATTTTGAACGCATGTTCAGGGCGCAGCCACCATTTTGAGCACGGATTAGGCACGGATGCCATTTTGTAGGGACTTCGTGTTCCTCTGAGTTCTATTGGGGCCTGCTTTCTTAGTTGCCCTGGCCTGCTGTGTCAGGCCTTCACTGGGGGGAAGCATTTTGATGCTCTTTCCGGCTAATTCGGTGCATTCTCCTTCTCCTTCTCCTCCTTTTCCTTTCCCCTCCCCATCCCATTCTTTCCTTTCCATCTCATTTAATCCAAATGAAATTTGCAACTGGAATTTATTGCAATTGCAGTCCAACCTATTCTGGAAAACTTCAGACATATATAAGTTTCCTAAATAAATACATTGATATTATCTAGTGACATCGTAATGGCTATATCTGCACAGTTTCCTTATTAAGGCAGCTAATCATTGCTCACAGGTCTTACCATGCTCAAACACAAATGTATTCACAAGATGACAATATGTAGCTTGTGGGAGTGTTTAATGTGTAAAATATAGTATCAAAATGGCACATAATCTTATCTTTGTCACTATATGTTAGATGCCTCTGTCTGTATGCAATATACAGAAGGGTGGATATCTCTTATTATTTATTTGGAACTAAGGCAGCATACTGAAAGGAACAAAGATAGAGCGTGTGAAAGGAGAACAGTTGTGAAAGGAGAGTAGACAAAAGAAAAGTATAGTGGCAGTAGTGCATTGCATAGAATTTTTCTGGTACTCAGAGTAAAAAAACTTCCTGTTTACCTGATTGTATTTCAGGTGTTCTTTTTCTGCCGTTTCTTTGAATATTATTAATAGTCCTACGCAAATGACTAATTGGTATTTATCCATTTGCTTGCTATTTGTAATTTTCTTGCTGCTTAGAAAACATAGATATTCAAATATCACTATTTCAAAGGGCAAATGAACTTGCAGAACATTAGGTTTAATGCATCCAATAATAGTTACTTGTTCGGAAATTAAACAATTGTATTTTGTAATAATCTAGAAAGTACCACATTTAAATCTGTGTGCATATATTCTCTTTCTCTCATATACACAGCCATTTTTCTCTCGTTTTTACACATGCAGACTGCCACATCTAGTTCTAGAAATTATTTGATGGCAGATGTACCATTATTACAAATTTCCCTACAGAATGTTAATAAGAATTACAGCAATAGTATTGTACTGCCACCATTTTTCAAAATATTATGTAGTTGTAGTTAAGAATAATTAGAAAGAAGATTTTTTTTAATAATAATACCATGTTGAATTTTTTCTAACAGAAATCAGAAGAAGAAGATCTTGTTCTTACTGCTGATGGCACCAGAGAATTCCTCACTTTTGAGGTTCCTCTTAATGATTCTGGGTCAGCTGGACTTGGTGTCAGTGTGAAAGGTAACCGGTCAAAAGAGAATCATGCAGACCTCGGCATCTTTGTGAAGTCCATTATTAATGGTGGAGCAGCTTCTAAGGTAAGTGTATTTCAGACAGGTCAGATAATGTTCCATAATCCAGCATCTCTTAGGCAATCCACTATTGATTTCCTGTTATGCATCGTTCCTTCCTCCATTTCCCAGTTTTCCATTTGAATAATTAGTATGATGATGATGCAGCAAATGCTAGCTGTACTTCAGATGCTCTAAATATAATAATATACCTGTATAGTTTAGGTTTACAACATGTCCATTCTGATAATATGCTTTTGTTAAAACAAAACACTAAGGGTTTTAATTTGAGGAATTGGGAGTCTCCCGGAATTGAATCTGTCTGAATTTGTTCCTCATATTGTAGTAAGTAATAGTTTATTTGGTCGATTTTGGCTTAAACTATTGGGGAAAAGTAACCATTTTGGTTTATAAGCTATGATTTATGATTTAGTGTGAATAAAGCTGTTGTGACCTATTCAGCATGCTTTAATATAAGGGTGATCCCAGTCAGAGTGTGTAATGGTTTGTGGAAAAAGGGAGATAGGGGAGGCAGCATAGCAAAATGGTTAGGGCAAGAAACTCAGATTGGACTCTTTCTAGTCGTATGACCTGTGAAAAAGATGGCAAGAGAATCCCGTTTTGATAAATTTTATGATTTAACCCTTAGTACATAGACAGGAAATAAAATCATATCAACCAGTTCTACTTTTTGTAAAGCTACATTAATAGAAATCTTGCAAGAGATTCTGTCAGCATTTCCTTTTTACAGTTGACCTTTATCTCAAAGCAAGAAGAGAAAGAAATGTGATGAACTGATTTCATTACACATGTCAGGATTATAATCTGTGAAATCACAATTAAGTTTTTTTTGCATAACTTTTTCAGTTATAAGAAATTACTTGCATTGTGTGTGTGATTCACTTAACCATCTTGCTTAACAAGGGAAATTTGAGTCACAGTTGTCTTAAGTCTTCTATATTAGGAGATCATTAAATTATTGGAGATGCAATAAGAACGCTTTATTAAAACATATGTTTTTATAATGTTCCAAAGTTATGTTTTGATAAAAGTTATTATATATATTAATTTGATTTTAAGGGAAAGTTTAACGTTCCTATTTAAATATTCATGTAATATTTTTGAACATGCACATTATTTTGAACATTATTTTCATGTGTACTACATGAAAACTGACAGCTGTACAATGGAAGTGGATGCCCTGTGTCCTTACTTTTGCCAAGAAATTAATTCTGCAACATTGGAAAGATTACCAATGAATTGACTATCTATATTATTTGCAATTTATGAATGAATATATGCACTACATGCACTATATTTGGATGATTCTGATAAAATATGGTCATCTTTTATTGAACCTGTTATGTAAAATGTCTCTGTCTGTCTCTCTCCCTCTCCCTCCCCCCCCTCTCTCACAAACATATATTCACACACACATATGCATGACAAAATCATAATTTATGTTATGTTTTTTCTGTTCTGTTTTGTTAAATTACTAAAGCCCCCCAAAACCTTTAATGTCTCAATTTCCCTTTTACTTGTTAGGATGGAAGACTCCGAGTGAATGATCAATTAATCGCAGTAAATGGAGAATCATTGTTGGGAAAGACGAACCAAGATGCCATGGAAACTTTGCGTAGGTCCATGTCCACAGAGGGAAATAAACGGGGAATGATTCAACTGATTGTTGCAAGACGAGTGAGCAAATGCAATGAGGTAAGAAACATTATGACTCTAGCAAAATAGCAGAGGTAGAAGTATACCTTCCAATAACAGGAAATAAAAGCATTTTAGCCATGTCAGAAATGAATGGATTGTTGTTAGTGACTCCAAATGGAAATGAATATAACTTCATTTCTATTTCATTTTCATGGGCTACTATAATGAAAAATAATCTGGATTTCCAGGAGGGAGGGGCTACAGTCCAGAGGATAAAGAGACAGCAAAGTTTAGATAGTTTGGTTGGGAGGAAGAGGGTCAAGGCAAGGGATTAAATCCCAAGAAGTTAATGATGCAAGAACTTTGCTTCAGGTTGGCAAGATTTTTGTCTGTAGGTGAGGAAAAATAAAAGAAACTACTTTGAAATAAGTCTGCATGTCCTTCTTGGTTATAACAGCTAGTCTCAGGGATACACAATTTTGGCTGGGAAAGTCTAAATATTTATGATGGATTGAGAACATGAAGCATTTTATGAGTTTATGTTTTATGAGAAAATATTAAAATTAGTCAAGTCTTGAATAACAGAAGAGAAGAGTGGGGCTTACACACTTAGCCAAAGATTTAGAAGGCTATGCTATAAGATAGTTTGTCTAAAATAAGATAGGACTAGCAGATGAAGACTATAACTTTCAATAGCTTTGCTTTTTTCTCCTCATAATTCAAGAATTGTACTCCAGAAATACAGTGTTTGATATTTTACCCATGTTTTCTTGAAAGGTTTTGGATGCATCTTCTGTAAAATGAAGTGAATTTCATATATACTTCAGCATGGGTAAAGAGATCCTTTGATGTCTTAATTCAGCTTTCATCACTTCCAGCAACATGGGCAAAGTTAGCAGATTATGATATTAATCATCAAAAACTACAGATTTTACCAATTTGTGAAAAGTACAGTTCTGCTAGCTAAAGAGCAGAATTCAGAATATATTGTTAAACCACATTTTGAGGTTTTTTAATTTTAACGGCATGGTTTTGCAAATATGATACAACAGATTTTTTAGCTTTTTGCTATAACTTGAATAGTGTAAAATTAGGACACATAAATATATATGCTTAGATTGTAAGTTCTGGGCTGGACTGCAATCTCCAAAACCTCTTATTGTTATCTTAGATAACAAGGGCAACACATACAAATTGTAGTGTAAGGTTATCTACTTTCACTGTATAATTTCACAAAAATAAGGATTTCTACTGTTGTATTCTATTTGCTGATGAGGATACATATTCTAATATCAAATATTATAAGAAACATATCATTGAAAGAAACATTCATGCCCTGAATTAATCTGTATATAATTCAATGCATTTTGTCAAGGCCAGTTCAAGACATTTAATTACTTGTAGAGAATCAATAAATGGCAAAGAAATTATCAAGATTTGGCAGAACTTCTTACAAATATCTGTTCAATGCTGATTACAATGATTTACTAACCACTTACTTTGAGAAAAGATGGCAGTCAATAAATTTTAGTATTTTTACAAAAAAAGTTTCTGTCCTTTCATAAAACCAAACATTTGTTGTTTGAGCTGCCTGCCTTGTTTCTGTAGGTGCCAGCTTATGCAATCTCAGAAAGAGCACTTTTAGTGAGGAGTTTATACTTTGTGCCAAAAAAACCCTAACTAGGCTCTATCCAATTTAAGGGCGTATGAATAAAATATTTTGTCAATGCTGCAAATACTGTATATTCTTGCTTTGACAATATGCAAAACTGTCTGGTATTTATTGGGTTAATACTTAGCTTAGAGTGGGGGGGGGGCGGGAAAGCCCGGGAAAGAAAGAGGAAGTAAACTTTTGACCTTCACACTAATTGGATAATGTGACCTGTGACTGCATGAGAAGGGAGGGGTTTAGCAAGAAAAGCTTGATGCCAGCGAAAGGAAGTTCAGATTCTGGCATCAACCCGTCCATCATGGTGAGCGCCAAAACTGTAGCTCTGCAATAAAGACTTTAGGAAACATGCCTGAAAGTTCTTTGAAGTGCTTCATTAGTCGGAACCTGTGACATCATGCCAGAATCCAACACTCTTTTCAAACGATCTGCGTCCCGAACTCCATCAGCTGCCTCTATGCCTGAGAGGAGCTGGCAAAGTTTTGGGGAAGATCTCATTATGGAGAAAGAAAGATTGCCTGAGACCAGCCCCGTAGCTGCAACAGTTTCCCGGGGGGGGGAAGTGACGGCCAGCAAGCCGGGGGAGAGAGGAATTTGGCAGATTTCCCAGCTGAGAGCGAAGACTTCAAGAGCAGAATGGACAGATAACACAGTTATGGGTGAGTCGTTGGAAAGATTTCAAAACTTAGAAATGAAAAACAGAAATCAGTTCCTACAAAGTGAAACCTACAGGCCCTCTATTGCAAATGTTCCTGCCATGGGCTCCAGCCCTGAGAGAGAAAATCCCAGTCTGAATCTTCTGCAGCAAAGGGGAAATTGGGTTTCCCAGCAAGTGGCTGATCCATGTCCTCTGAACTTACCACAGCTAATAGAGGCCTTGCAATGTCTTGGGGTGGTACAGAAGCCAGGAAATCAGCAGCTGGGGGGAGAACAGCCACAGCAAGGAGGTTGGCCACAGCCCCCAAACGTGCAACCCCTGGGCATAAATCTGCAGCCAGGTTGGGGCCTACAGCAACTGGGGTGGCCACAAGAGCAGCAGGAAGCCTGTCAGACCCTGCCTTTGCCGGCCAGAGACCCCAACCCTGAAGAGAGGGTGAGTTCCAGTCTGAGGCATCTGCAGCAATGGGTAGATGGGTTTCCCCAGCAGATGAATGATCATCAGCAGCAGAGGGCATCACCACCCCCTGCAACCCAAGAACAGAGAAGACCACCACAACCCCCACTTGCGCAGCCACCATTGGGAGGCCTACAGCAGCAGGGGGCACCATCCAACCCCACTGGCCAGCAGCAGAGGGCCCAGCGGCCGTGGAACCAGCCCCAGTGGGGGCCACAGCAGCCTGTGTTCGCACCACCCTTCAATGCAACCTTTGATGGGGACCCAGAGAAGCTAATTTTTTTTCTCAACCAAGTGCGTTTTCACTTGAAATGCTGGGCCTATCTGTACCTGGAACCAGGGGCCATGGTCGATGTTATTGCGTCCAACCTAGAGGGAGAAGCATCTGAATGGCTGAACAATCTATATAGCGAGCAAGCCCCCGAATGGGAAGATCCCCACCGCTTTCTTTTAAGTCTGAGAGAACGATTTGAGGACCCATCCATTGGCCTCAAAGCAGCAGGACAAATTCACAAAATAAAACAAGCTGGGAGGCCTGCCCTGGAGTACGTGCGAGAATTCCGCAAGATAGCAGGTCGAATAGAGGGATGGCCTGAGCAGTCCCTCATCCATTTCTCCATTGAGGGATTAGATGATCACCTCTCTCAGGCCTGCATCTATTGAGAAATACCTGATCGGCTTCAGGAGTGGTACCAGACAGCTGTGAAGCTAGATGTTAAGCTCTCTCGCTATAAAAAGCCTCCCCCACAGGAACCCAAACAGCAACCAGAGCTACCTGGACAGCAATCACACACACGAAAGCCTTCAACTACTGCAAGGGCTGAGAGACCCAGGCCACCTGCACGTCCTTCCTTCGAGTGTTTCTGGTGTGGACAAGGAGGACACCGAGCGGCCACCTGTCCAGTCCCCTACCCTCGACTGCAGAGCAAGCCAGGACCGGCAATGCAAAAGAAACCTGCTCAGCGGCTAACAAGAGAAAAATCCAATCGACCCACACAAGAAACAATTGCCCAGGTTACACCTCACACACAGGAGGATGCCAAGACTCCAGGTGGACCTGCCCCTGCTCTTCCCTTCTTTGATAGCGACGATGAAGAAGAAAACGACCCAATGGTGAGTCGACAAATCCTGCCTTTTTCACTGGCCGCCAAACTTATAATCCCTAAGTCTGGGGCACAAATAGACTTAAATGTACTAATTGATTCGGGATGTACCTGCTGCATTATTAGTCTGGCGTTTGCCATGAAAATGGGCATAAGGGCAAAACAGCTTTCCAAACCGATGAGATTTGAGCAAGCCGATGGCTCCCTGATGGGAGGGACTCTTATTACACAATTAACTGAGCCCTTACGCCTAGAAATATGTGCACACTGGGAGTTTATTTGTTTCCTGGTGGCTCCAAAAATGACCGAGGCAGTGATCCTAGGACTAGCCTGGTTGGACAAATGGAAGCCGTTTATCTGGTGGGAGAAAGGAATGAGAATTGTGAGACTACCTATAGGGCCTGATCCCCCTATTGATTCAACAGACGTTACTGGGCATCTTAGGCCACCCAATGAGCGAGCGCACATGGCCGCCGCACTGACTCCAGGTGAACCAGTCATCCCCAAAGAATACTTGGACCTGGCGGAGGTGTTCAGTGAAAAAGAATGTGATGCCCTACCCCCTCACAGACCCAATGACTGCTCCATCGAACTGGTGCCCGGAGCCAAACTCCCACGTCCGAGGATGTATGCTATGTCCCCCCTCGAAATGGAGGAGATGCAGCGATATGTGAACAAGAACCTAGCGAGGGTGTTTATTGAACGGGCCAAATCTTCCGTGGGAGCCCCTGTGTTGTTCAAAGAGAAAAAAGATGGGTCTCTTCGTCTCTGCGTAGACTACAAGGGACTCAATGCTGTAAGTGTGGAAAATAAATACCCCCTCCCTCTTCTAAATGATTTATTGACCCATCTGGCTAAGGGGAGTGTCTTCACTAAGTTAGACCTAAGAGAGGCATACTACCGGGTGAGAATAAAAGAGGGAGACGAGTGGAAAACTGCCTTCAACTGTCCAATGGGGAGCTATCAGTTCAAAGTCATGCCATTTGGATTACAGGGGTCCCCAGCTGTATTTATGCAGTTGATCAATGAGGTTCTACATGATCACTTGTACAAAGGGGTTTTGGTGTATCTTGATGATATCCTGATATACAGCACAAACATGACTGATCACATAAAGCTAGTGAGAGAAGTGTTAAAGAAACTATTGAATGCCAAGCTTTATGTCAGAGTG